GTTTTTGAAACTTACTGTGCGCAATAATTTGGAACAGCATTGTAAGTTTTTTATGTTTAAAAAAAATCCTGTTATCATTAGGTGGTTTGTTCAATAAAATGTGAATTGTACTCTTAATAGTTGATAACATGAGAATTATGCTGACTGTTATTTACATCAATTATTTAGGTAAATGAGAAAAATATAATTTGCATAATAATTTGGAACACGGTGTAAGTCCTAACAAAAAAAAAAACACCAAGCATGTGTAAAGCATGTGAATGTAGAACCTGGTAGGTGAACTTGGCCCTTATTCTTTAAATACGCCCCACGCAGGTAACCATACAGAGAAACTTTGCGGTCACACTTAGGATTAACTCTGATATCTTCTGTATTAGTTAAATCTTCCATCCTAAGGAGTAAAAAAAAAAAAAGAAAGATTACTTTTATATGGGGCATGAAGTTTACCTAAGAATGTGAAAAGCAAAATGAAAATTGCAGTACTAAAAAGATACAGAGGAAAAAAGTTTTTCATCAAAATCACAAAGCCTAACAGTTTGTTTTTTTTTTATTTCTCTTGCACATGATTGGGTATTGAAAGTTATTTGCGAAGATCAGTAACAGTTACCTTTGCAAAGTGAACGGTTCATTGCTCAGACTCGACTTTTAGTAAATCTAACCCACAGAATACCATGCTACCTTTGTTACACTACTGGTGGAACTTGAGATGCCTCGCATTTTACTGTGCACAGTTTAGCTGTGACCAGCTTTCTGTTTTTGCAAAGCTGACATGGCTTATTAAATAAAGGAAATTATAACTGAACCTTTACTGGCATTCAATGTGAGTAGTAGGCACACTTACTCACATAGGATGGACAAATCCTGGTTAAACTTTTTTGGGACAAATCCACACCAAGAAATCTATTTATTCAATTAAACTGCTGCCAGAACTTGCCCTGCTGTCTGCATTTCTTGGTTCAGTCACCACAGCCAATTATTTTATGCACTTCTTCTTATTCATAGTTAGAATCATTATCCCAAGGTAATTCCACCCATCAATGATTGGGTACAGAAAAGTCAAATAATGAAAATGGAAAAATGATTTGCTCAATATCATGACACCTATGAATAGATGTTTCTGGATGGTATTCATGGGTTCACAAGAATTTATGAATATCTTAATAGAGTGTCTTAAAAGAGAAGTACATATACATCTATACTTACCTAGGTGGATGAGGCATTAGTCCAATGTCCCCTGCTGCTTCTAACACTGAGTGATTAAAGACTGCTGATCGCTAAGTGTTCAGTGAGCTGGTGACTGCCACCGGCTCTCTGCTCTTCCAGTGCTGAGCTAGAGAGAAGGCGGGAGCAGTTTGCTCAGGCTCTCAGCGGCATGCTGAGGGCTGAGCCAGCTGTCAGTCAGGCTTCTGAGAGGATCCTGACCATATGGCAGAGATCTTTTCAGAGCCTGGACCGGCTCTCTGACGTTAGCCCACTGTCGGCTGAAAACAGATTAGAGGCGTGCAGAATGAAGTGCACTCCTGTGATCCATAGAAGTAGGGCCAAAAAAAAGCTTTAGCCCTTCAGGAATTTATAGCTCTATATATGGTTAAAGAATGAGGGACTGCTGTACCTCTCCCTATCTCCCCTTTCATTTATTCTATGACTTCTGCTCACCCTCCTTCATTTCCTTCTTATATCCTACCCTTTTTTGCATACTTCATCTATGCCTTAACATTGTGTTAAACAAGAGTGACAGACTGGTTTCTTTATTCATGCCGGTAATTAGAATGAGTACATATCAGCAATCTGTTATAAGTGGAGTACACATATATTCAAGATCCTCTGGCTCTTGGAAAACAATGATGTGTAATAATTGTATTGTCTGTAGCATTTGATCATTTTGGATGTTATTTGGACAACTGTTGTGTGCCAATTTTCCCCTCTTTTCATTTCTGTACCCCAAACCTGTTTTTTTATGTCTTAAATAAAAAAACTGATTGCGTTTACAGAGAACCCATCAGTATTGGGTTTATATAATAATTATAATATAAAAGTGTATCTATGGTCAAAATGTTAAATATTTATTTCCATATTGGATTTCAATTATTTCTAGCCCACTCCTATTAATCTGAGCAATCTTGAAGTTTGTAAACCTTGTTGTGAGTTACACGTTTCACAGAGTCTGCATTCTGAACTACAGGATCAGTACAGGAATCATGGCTTGCAGGCAAAATGGTGCCATGGGATATGTAGTCCTTAGAAATCAAAAGTAAAACAAGAGAACCTGCATATCATGCAGGGAATAAGGGAAGTTGTGGAAAGATGGCCAGCAGACAGGCATAAGTGACAATATTAAAGAAGATATTTCAAGTAAGATTACATAGATTGTCAATAATAAATAACAACCACTTGTATTACTAATACAGTGCTGATGTTATAAAATGAAAGTGTGTGGGACATGCTGAGTTATAAAATCCTGATGCCCTTAATGATTTACTCAAGCAGGGCTAGCTAGGTCTCCTTTCCCTTTGGGTTTCCCTCTCTTCCTTATTCCTTCCTTCTCTTCTGACTGTTGTCTTTTGTTTGTTTCAGTCCTCAGGCTGAGCCTGGTGGCCTAATATGGATGCAACATAGGTTTCTTTTTATTTCTAAAGTTTAAGATACTACTTTTGCACTAATCACCTAAAGTTATCCGTGTACTCACAATTGTATTTGACATCTTTTCTGGTCATGGTCATGGGGAGATGTAAATTGTTGTTCATTAATGTCAATCTAGCTCCCCTAGACCCCTTTTCTTATTGGCTCTTTGCGACCTTTGAACACTTGTGCAAGGGCTCTGGCCATTGTATTTTCTGCAGTGTTGTATCTTGATGTCTTATTATTGAAAAACATTAATAAAAATGAAAGTAAACTTGAAAGGGTGTGCCGTGACCTTAGCACTCCTTTCAAATTTAACCCCTCTACTGCCACCGATAGAAGGCTTACGGCAGTAGCAGCAGCTTCAGTAAGTGTGTGTACATTCCACAAGCAGGCTGCCAGGTTTCTAATGAAAGTGATTCAGAGGCTAAACTCCGAAGTGTGACCATCCCGCCATGCTTCCTGGGTTCCCGGGAGTGTGCCTCTCTCCCCTAGCTAGAATGAAGCACCTGTTAACTGGAGGAAGATACGCATTGCAGCACTGGAGCAAGATGGAGAGTACTGCCTTGGGATCTTTTTGGGATCAGCTTTAAATAAACCTACGTAGTTACAATTACTCAAATCTGTCAGGCCCTATAATATAGACTTGTGCAGAAATAGTTAAATAGGTGACAATTATTGTGGTGCTCTTTTATAAGCCAGCAATTGCTCCACAAATTGCTGGCCCATTCATATTTGAAGCCATCAGTTAGCTATTTTTTTTTTGTACAAAGCATTGTTTGACACAATTAGCCCTCATAGATTTTTTTTTCCAGAAAACTGATATACCACTATATCATAACTGAGTCAGTTATCGCTAGCTTGTTTACAGTGGTTCAAGGAAAAAGGCCACCATCTCACCTGTCTGCTAGAACATAAGGATGAGATGTCTGCCAAGTCAGTGGGCGAAACTTCATGACAGATATAAATCGTCCCAGATTACGTATTTCTTGTTTTTGGTACTCTGAATACACCATGCCAGAAAGATAGAAAAGCTTGGCACCCTATAAAGAAAAAAAAAAAAACCTTCAGGTTACATTACTTAGCATGAAATACTACCTCACATAATAAATGAGTGTTTTAGCACATATCAATAGATCTGAGGGCTCAAATATTTAAAGGCTGAGTGCTTAGGTGGGAAATAAATGAATATGAAATGATAGTTGTCAATCCTCAGTAAACCATGACACTGGGCACAATCATTGGTTCTGCAATATGTATTTGCAGAACAGGACATCTACTTGGCAAGCCAGACATGTTCCTAGAGCACAGGAAGAGGCAGCCTATGCATTTACAATAAGACAGAAAGTCAGGGAAAATCTAACAAAGCCTCTAACATAAAAACCTGACAGGGGTTTTAACCTTCCCCAATCTAAAAAGAACAAGTGTGAGCTATAAGAAAAAGGTAGTGTTTACCTTCCGCCATCTGAAAACAACTTTTTTTTTTTTTTTTTTTAAACATGACTCAATTATCTGACCTATTTAAAATTACTGGTTCACTGGTGGTCCACAAAATAATATGTGTGATATAGTCTGTCATTAGCAATACAAAGTTTTCTGTTTATTCTGAGTTTTCCTGTTCCATAGTTCTATTACCTAATGATTTTTCTCATTCCATAAATTAGGGTGACAATGCCACTCGTTTTGCAGCCAATTTGCGCAGCAATGTTGTCATACTGTGGACAGGGAGATGGACATGAAGTTTTCAATAGATTTTAAATAAAAGACTAATGCCCAAATCCAGTTAACAGTTTTTGGAGCAGTTACTGTCTTTTTTACTATTGGAAAAATGGTTTAAGCCACCTAAATGCTGACTATTATAAGCAGGCAGCATTACATGATTTGTCCCTACACCTGCAATTGTCTTTATCCTTTCCAGCTTAGTCTGCGCTCAAATGTGGAGAAAAAAAATAAAATCAAAAGAAAGGCCTGGGAAATAAATAAAAAAATAAAAATATATGCAATATACGGTATATTGAATACTATACATTACAGGTATAAACCACATACAGTTAACAGAATGATACTTTTCTCTACACTGATCCTTTAATATTGAGCCATATACCCAATGCCAGCTGCAATATATGCAGCCATTATTTTGGTTAAAAATGAAGTACACATTGTTTTAATCAATAGGTTATATAGCTACTGTCATCCCCAGTATTAGTTTCTAGTAAATTTTATAGACACCTGATACACTTCAGTCCAGAACCTATGCTTCAGCCTTTTCTTGACCTTGCGCAATTGCTTGTTGTTCTTAAAGGTGTCCAGGTGGGTTAGAACCCCCATTATTTTTGGAAAACCATGGACCTGGCAAATGTTCAGGAACTCAAAGGTCTCCATCTCAAATCCAAAACTAGCATCTATGAGCATCAAGACCTGTTTGAAATAAGAGAGAAAAAAAATATAAAATTTTAATCTGTAGGCTTCATATTATACCATACCCCTAAACAGCATGTATCCACATCTTGTGATAAAGCAAGGCCCAGACATTGGGTGGTTGACATTTCTGATGATGGCTCCACCTTATGTAGAACTATTATTTTGGAGAACAAGCACCACTGGGAAATTTGGTATACTAAACACAATTTAGTAAAGTTAATGAAAGCCCTCATGAATTGGGGTCATCTCTGCAATCACAGTAAGTAATGAAAAGGAATTTTCCAATCCAGCTCAGTCAACTCATTTTGATTATGTGAACTAAGGCGGTCAAAAGAGGCATAGCTATTTGCTGTCCAATTAAAAAATTTATGTGTTGAACTCTTTTGTACCAATTGGTAGCCATCAAACCCCAGGAATGGCCAGAGATTACTGCAAATAATAATCATGAGTTCTCCGCTTTAGATAAAAAAAGAAGCCAAATAATGACACAAAACAGTAGGCACTTAGATGTGTAACTTCAAAAGAATGTAAGTACATCCCAATGAATAGGGTCATTTTTATAATACAATACACACAGCTCCATTTTTTTCAGCAAAGTGTATAACTCATAACTGATGTGTACAAAGTGCATCAGTGTATGAGATAGAAGATGAAATAATAAGGCTGAATTCCAGACAAGAAAAGCATCAAATGAATGCATTTGTGTATTCATTAAAAAGTCATAAAATGTATTTTAAAATCCAACTAGCATATACGCTATAATGCCAAAAGTGTTGGGATGCCTGTCTTTACAGGCACATGAACTTTAATGGCATCCCAGTCTTAGTCCGTAGGGTTCAATATTGATTTGGCCCGCCCTTTGCAGCTATAACAGTTTCAACTCTTCTAGAAAGGCTCTGTAGGAGTGTGTCTATAAGAGTGTTTGACCATTCTTCCAGAAATGCATTTGTGAGGTCAGGCACTGATATCAGACGAGAAGGCCTGGCTCGCAGTCTCCACTCTAAGTCAGCCCAAAGGTGTTCTATCGGGCTGAGGTCAGGACTCTGTGCAGGCCAGTCAAGTTCCTCCACTCGCTCATCCAAGTCTTTATGGACCTTGCTTTGTGCACTGCTGTGCAGTCATGTTAAAACAGAAAGGGGCCATCCCCAAACTGTTCCCACAAAGTTAGGAGCATGAAATTGTCCAAATTGTCTTGGTATGCTGATGCCTTAAGAGTTCCCTTCACTGGAACTAAGGGGCCAAGCCAAACCCCTGAAACAACCCCACACCATAACCCCCCCTCCACCAAACTTTACACTTGGCACAATGCAGTCAGGCAAGTACCATTCTCCTGGCAACTGCCAAACCAAGACACGTCAGATTGCCAGACAGAGAAGCACGATTCATCACTGCAGAGAACACAACTCCACTGCTCTAGAATCCAGTGCATTTGCATTGCACTTGGTGATGTAAGGCTTGGATGCAGCTGCTTGGCCATGGAAACCCATTCCCTGAAGCTCTCTACGCACTGTTGTGCTAATCTGAAGGCCACATGAAGTTCGGAGGTCTTTAGCTATTGACTCTACAGACAGTTGGTGACTTCTGCGCACTTCAGCATGCGCTGACCCCGCTCTGTCATTTTACGTGGCCTACCACTTTGTGGCCGAGTTGCTGTTCCCAGTTGCTTCCACTTTGTTATAATACAATACCACTAACAATTGACCGTGGAATATTTAGTAGCAAGGAAATGTCACGGATGGACTTAATGCACAGGTGGAAACCTATGACGGTACCAGGCTTGAATTCACTGAGCTCCTGATTCTTTCACAAATGTTTGTAGAAGCAGTCTTCACGCCTAGGTGCTTGATTTTATATACCTGAGGCCATGGAGGTGACTGGAACACCTGAATCCAATGATTTGGAGGGGTGATCCAAAACGTCTGGCACTATAGTGTATGTCTGTGTTAGATTTGATATAGGCCTCCTATCCCCTGTACAGCAGCACTCAGACTAAAAGGAGGAGCATACAAGCCAAGGCTCTCCTGGATGGATACATGTTGAAAAGAAACATACTGGCAAGAAGAGAGAGTAAACTGAGCAGAGTGATGTTCAGTGTGCTGCTACTCCTATGCTAACCAAATCGGTAGACTGTTGGCGTATTTTTGACCAACCTGCTCTGCAGGTACAGTGGAGGTAAAATACATATTTGTCCTAGGGGTGAGTTCAGTTTTAATCAGTCATGTACAATTAGCAATTCAACCAATTATTTTGCGATCAGAAGGTTACATGTAAAATATGTAAAAAAAAAAAAATCTGGCATCAATTCTCCTTTTTCGAGTGTTAACATAAAACACTGTTTATTTTTACATGTGCAAAGGTATTAGCTTGGATGTAGTTTTATTGATCGACATAGAATTAGAAAAGAGTAAACAGTGACAACACATTTACAGAAACATTTTTCTTACCAGATCTGCAACTTTAGCCAGATCTATCATGGTATTTATGTCACAGCCACATTCTATGATGGTAAGGCGACGTTTTTTCCCTACACAAAAACAAAATGATGTCATCACAAGTAAAACAAAAATACTGGAATAACCAATATGACTGCTAATCCACCAAAGTGTATGAAGAGCAGTAAGAAAGTAAACTATTGCAAATACATTTCACATAAAACACATACAGCCACTTACTAGCCAAACTGTAACTAAAATGGAATCCTACGTGCACGTTCGCATTTGTGTGTGATCATGAGGGAAAGGAGATGCTTTAAATTTTTTTTTTTTTTTTTTTGCACTGTAACTTTAGCTTTTTTTGTGATCAGCTTTATTGCTTTTACAAGAGATGAATAATATCTCTTGTAATAGTATGGGCTGTGACAGGTCCTTTTTATGGAGATTGGGGGTCTATTAAACACACCTCATATCTCCTTTGGCCTCGTACAAAGCAGATCAGACATTGGCCGCTTCCAACAATGGGAGAAAGACATCCGTTCCTCTCACTGTGTGGCTAGAGCTGAATGCCGCCAGATGTGTCATTCTCTGATCAAATGGGGGAGTCCGGTAAAGGCAGCAGAGGGTAAGGACCCCCTTCTGTAGCCTGTAAAAGTAATCCAGTGGCTTGCTAGCCACTCAAATTATTTTTATTTTGTAAGAAATCACCGAGGCTACAAGAGGACACCTCATTTATTGCTGTAGCGATGACAGAGATATCACTCTTTCTTTCTGAGGCTCTTTATAAAACATACATCAGGCTGGAAGTGGTTAACAGACATACAAAAACCTACTGATCTATGAACTATATTTACAATGTTCATCGACAAAGGTATATTACCAGAAACAATGGTCACAGGTCCACGGATTTCAGTCAGCTTCTGCTTGGTAAAGTTTTTAATTAGACATCGGATTAGGGTACTCTTTCCAACTTTTGGGGGTCCAACAACTACAACAACCACAGGAGGAGGCTCTAAGGGCGTTCGATCCACAACTGGGATGTGATGCTTTTTGGTCTTGAGATCCTGTGTCCTAGAGTAGAATGGCATTAGACAAATTTATTTACAGCAGTTTAGTTGTAGTAAAAAGTTTCTTTTATCAATTTTTGTTGAGAAAACTCTGAGCTCATGGTCTAGGTCTGTACACTTGGAGTTATTAAAAACATCCTACTAGGGATGCACCGAAATTTTGGCCACCGAAACATACCGGCCAAAAATAGCCTATCAGCATTTTGCCAATAGGAAAAATTTAGCTGATACAGGTGCCAATACAGGGGACTGTGTGTACTGCAGATATGAGGGGGCGGCTGAGAAAGGCAGGAGAGGAGCAGTGTATACAGTGACTGGCTGTCACTATATATCAGTGCCGGTTTTTAAATGTAATTACAGGCTATCAAGTCGCACCTGAAGTTGCACTGCCATCCGACTTTAAAATTGTGTGCCTTCAAGTGAAGTTGCATCATTTAAACATTGGATCCAATGTGAACCAGGGCTTAGAGAATTTTCACCTTAATGCAGCATATACACATTGTGGTGGCATCCCAGATATACATGTTGATGTATTACAGCCCAATCATTTTGAAAAGACTGCCCTATGCAACACAAAAAAAACACATGCATTGCAGAGCACTGTTTCATGGTGTGAGCGATCCCTAAGTGTTAAATTCACCATGGTCTAAAAAAGGTTCTTTTTTAATAGGTAATTTTATGGGAAAACACACATCTTTTATTGGCCTGCATTGGACTTTCTATGGTTAACGTATATTAAAGTGTTACTAAACCCACAACAGTAAAATCAGTCTTTATATGCAGTAGAGCATGCTTGTTATACTCACTGTGGAACCTAAGGGGTTATTCCTCTGCATTGTGTAAAATGCTGTTTGATCCTGCCTTCTCTGATCCTCCCCTTCTTCCAGTCTCCCCCCTCATCTCCTGATAGGACATATCATGTGGAGACACTCTGCAAAAGCTCAGTTTGGTATGTAATGCTAGAGAGGTTTTTTTGGGGTTTTTTTCTTGGAAAAGTGCATGCGATCAGCATAAATCCAATCGGCACTGTCCAGACAGAGGTCAGGGGTTCTGCATCCTCCTAGAGCAGAATGAAAACTATAACTAAAACTATAGCTCTGCTGACCACTGATAAAGTCACAAGACTGCTCTAACTGCTGATGAGAAAAGGTATTTAGCAGTTTATATTTACTAAAATAATTGCATTTCCATGTTGTGTAATGTGGGAGACCAGATATAGTGAATGCAGGGTCCTGGGTTTAGTAACACTTTAAGAGGCCACGAATATTGTGTAACATTAGATCACCTATGGAAGTTCCTGGCCATGCGCACAGCAGATTGTACTGCAAACGCTTTCGGGTTCCTTTTTCTGGCATCTTCCTCTGCACCGACTCCGGCTTCTGCCTGCTGACGATTCTTCTTCTTGTTTGCTTTCGGGCCGCTGTTTTTCTTGCGGTGTTTCTTTTTGTCTTTCTCCTCCATATTCACAAGTGTTTAGAAGTCTATGCCTATAGAATACAATGAAAGTGCATAATCAGTATTTGTGTATGGACACAGCAAAATTCCAGAGTGGACAAATGAATGTAGAATTCAAGAGCCACCCATCCACATGTTATACAGCAGGCATTTGTTAGATGTATGTTCATATACTAACTCCAAGCAATTTCAGTGGCTTAGTGGTCAGCACGTTTGCCTTGCAGCACTAGGGTCTCTAGTTCAAATCCAAACCAAGACACTACCTGCATGGTGTTTGCATGTTCCCCTTGTGCTTGCATTAGATTCCTCCCACACTCCAAAGGCAGGCTGATAGGTTAATTGGCTGCTGTCTAAATTGGTCCTAGTATGTATGCATGTGAGATAGGGACCTTAGATTGTAAGCTTCTTGAGGGCAAGGACTGATGTGAATGTAGTGTGTATTGTTGGTGCTTTATAAATACCTGCAATAAAGAATACATCTCATAATCGCAAATTAATGGCTAAGTTCACCTTTATGCAAAATAATAATTTATGCACAAGCGTTAGATTTCTGCAGACATTTCCCACAGCTCTCTTCCTGTACCCTCTGTACAGACTTTCAGTCACCGAGCTGCATGAGGTGTCAATAGAATGAGTGCGCTGATCAGTTCACCCATAGTCCACTGAGAACAAGAAGTCCGTCTGCTGCGGATCTCAGGGGGTGAGGGTTGGGGTGCTTAGCAATAACAATAGTTACATCGTAAATATGAGGGAAACATGTTACTCAAAGCTGGAGATAATCTTTAATGTTCCACATATGTATCCAGTCTGTTACAAAGGCAATTCTACACCTCATAACTCCATTCTGCACTATCCTACATGAAACTGTCCATTTACAATAATACGCCCCCAACAAATGCCCATGACCATTCGCTGTCCAGATCAAAATATTTGTGACAACTATGGTCATGTGTTTCCAATCAACCATGGGCAGGAAGCATGTACAAATCAATGACCGGCTAACACAGTCTGTATATAATCTCACATGGAGCAATTACCTGGGGTTAGGGAGGGGTGTGCACCCCTGGACCTGAACTGTCTGTCAGCTGCGTGTGTAAGCCCTTAGGATCTCCAAAGAGCAATCCACATTCAAACTGCTCTTCAGACAGCATTTGACAGGTAGTGAGGAGGCGGTACAATACCTCCTCAGCACCTGTTAAATGATCACTAAAGAGCAATTTGAATGACCAGCTGACACTATCTGCATGTAATCTCACTTGGGTCAATTACCTGCAGTCAGAAAGGGGTGTGCGCCCCTGGACCTCAACTGTCTCTTAGCTGCATGCATTCACTAGTTTTTTCTCTGAAGAGTGATCCACATTTGAATCCATCTTCAGAGAGTGCATTTGACAGGTGGTACTGTATGGCCTGCTCACTGCCTACTTTACAGTGTAACTACAGGCAAATCTTTCCTTTTCATTTTGGATAGCGAAATGGAGGGGGGTTAGAGCCCCTGTCATTGTTTTGCCACCTGTTTCCCATTGGGGAGATTTCACTTCCTCTCCCATAGTCAAAACAGGAAATCTCTGCAAGAGCCTCCCTTGGGGCCCCCCAGGTCACCAGAACTAGTGTCCCCATTGGAAGATTTCCCCTCTATTACTTCTCTGGGGACAACTTTTTACTTTCAATGATAATAGTAAACAGGCCAAATAGAGGGGTGAATCTCCCTAACAGGGGGTACAGACAGCAATAAAAACCTGACAGGGGGTCTAATCCCTCTCCACTCTATCCAGAGCTGAAACAAACTTCTTCCTTTAGACTTTAACCCCTTGTACGCAGCACTAGTGTGATTGCACAGAGGTGACACACAGCTGCAGGGTGCTTGCAGAGGGACCCCATGACTGGAATGGGTCCCGCTCAGTGGGTGCTACCTCCCATGAAAGTAACAGAGGGAAGAATTCATCCACAGGCTGGAAGCAAAGCATTGGAGCAGTGGCATGTGTACACCCCCGACCACTGCCTCTGCAGGTAAAGGAGATAGTGGTTGGGAGTGGTAAAAACACAACTCAACTGCAAGATTTTACTGCCCCCCCAACCACTGGTGTGGAGGAGCCCTTAGACAGCTATATGTACTGGAAGACGTATCCTCCAGCCATCAGTGTCCATTTCCTCGGACTCTCAGTCCAGGACACAGTGAAAAGTAGAACATATAGAAGGGGATCCCTCCACAGGGGACAAACACAACAACTGATAGAAAGGGCTCTTCATTCCGTTCACACAAGACCACCATACTGTACAACCAGGGAGCCTATAGCCCTGCCCCTGAACAGGAAAACCACATTTCTCACCCGAGAAAAAGACCGCCCGGACTGTCCCCGTCTCAACACACCCGGCAAATCCACTCTACAACACACACAGCTGCCACATGGAGGACACATCCGCCGGAAGTGTCCGCCGCTAATCTCTTCCGTGCGGGAACAAGTGTAGGTGGAACCAAATGACCGAGAATGTTCACTTCCTGTCCCTGTAGAAGTCATGTGATGTGACAGTGTACCTAGTGCCAGGCTCAGGGGTGACAGGAGGGATGTCATCTCCATACCGTGTATGGAGAGGAAAGGGGTAATGGGTCAGGAAGGTGCAGGAGGGGGGTGAGTGGTCAGGAGGGCGGTAAGTACTGGTGGACATCATCACTTAAGCTGGCCATACACGTGTAGATTGCCCATAGTATTCATAAGAAAAGTCGGATGAAAACTCTATGAGAATTCGATGAGTAGACGAATGTCGTTTGAAAATTGTCTTCTGCTTTCAACATTCTTTTTAAAATGCATGCAATTTCTGAACCACAACCATTGGCACTGGCCGAAAATTTGATCGAGAAAAGTTTTCCTTGAGAGAAAATCTATATGTGTCAGCCTTACTGTGACTATGTATGACACTGACCACAGATCACTATGGTGCAGGAGCTCCGCATGAGGGATCCACACCATGTACCTTCATGTCTTCTGCACCTTCTTCGCCTCTCTCTTCTGCACCTTCATATACCGCCTCGTCTCTTCTGCACTTCATATACCGCCTCGTCTCTTCTGCACCTTCATATACCGTATTTATTGATGATGTGACTGCTGACAAAAGCAGCAGCAGCATGAATTCTGACATGTTTCAGGCAATATTATCTGCTCATATTCAGCCAAATGCTTCAGAACTCATTGGACGCCACTTCACAGTGCAGATGGACAATGACCCAAAGCATACTGCAAAAGCAACCAAAGAGTTTTTTAAGGGAAATCATTGGTGTCAGTGGGAGGAACAGTGCCCCATCATTGGTGTCACTGGGAGGAATAGTGTCCCATCATGGTGTCAGTGGGAGGAATAGTGTCCCATCATTGGTGTCAGTGGGAGGAATAGTGTCCCATCATTGGCGTTGGTGTCAGTGGGAGCAATAGTGTCCCAAATAAAAAAGCAGGCGTCCCTAGGACTTCCTTCACATAACAGCCTGGGTATTAGCTGGTGTCACTGAGAACACATGTAGTAGGGGGAGGGGCAGTATATAAATATAAACATCCCATAAAGTAATCATTCACTGGGAGAAGTGTGGATTTAGACAGCTTTGCCTGGAGCAATCATGCAGTAAGTGAAGTCAACATTTCTGAATTCTTGTTATGGAACAATAACTCCAAAAGTACAGAACACAATACACCTGCATGTTTTACTGCTTCCACGCTGCCCTATAGCACGAAGAGGGCAAGCCACCACTAGGAGATCTGCTTCCCTGCTCCCCACTGTGTACCAAACAGCCGTGCCCCTGCCACCGCACAGCCCCGAGCCCCGTCCAATCCGGCAGAGGCGAGCCTGCCGTGCGGCCTCCTGCACCCACTGACGCCGGGCCCCACAACACTTACGATCGCCGGACCCTACCGCTCCAACAACGCTGGGCCCTTGGCACCCTCAGTCGCTGGCCTGCAGCATCCACATGCACTGGCCCACAACACCCATTGACACCAGGCCCTACTGCACCTACCAACGCCTAGCCCACTCCACCTCTAGACGCGGGACCTTCAGCACCTCCACTCATACCAACCCCCAGCTCAACTTTACCTAAAGACTTGATCCCTTGTTGAAAGCCACCACAACGAGAGACCCCTCTGCACCCTAGACTGTCGCCACTCAAGCACCCCTGGAAACTGTCCATCCACACCCGATCCCCTCTCCACTAAACTCCAGCCTCCAGAAGACACATCGATAAGATAGTCCAGCGGGCAGAGGCGTATCGACAACCAAGCCTCCCACCACTCCTATCCGCCCTCCTGGGCACCTTCCTAAAATGCCTCTTCCACTCCTCCTCATTTTCCTCCTCCGTTCCCAAAATCCATTCACTATATCCCTCTGCTCCTCCCAAACAATTGTATATTGTGTCCTCACTGCTTCCTTCACCCCTCTACGGCACCCACCACCTCCTCCTAATACTCCACTCTCCCACTGACCCGAACACCTCCACTAGTAGTTTTCACACGCTCCTGCACATCCCGCTCCCATGCCACCTTTCTCACCCTTCTCCTCCTAACCGCAGGGGACATCTCCCCGAATCCTGGCCCTCCACCACCTCCGTCACCCACACAACACCCTCCCGCCTCCTGCGGCGTCCTGCTGCAACCCTCGCAACTTAGTATCTGTCCCCCTGCTCCCTAAAATCACCCCCCCCCCATTTCATGTGCACTCCTGAACGCCCGATCGGTGTGCAACAAGCTTACCGCCATCCACGACCTCTTTGTTTCCCACTCCCTCAACCTCCTAGCGATCACGGAAACCTGGATCCAGGCCACTGACTCTACCTCCCCTGCTGCACTCTCCTACGGAGGTCTCACCTGTACCCACTCACCCAGACCCAACGGTCGTAAAGGTGGTGGGGTTGGTCTGCTCCTGTCACCACAGAGCACCTTCCGAGTCCTCCCAAACCCCCCCTCTCTATCCTTCTCCTCCGAGGCCCACTGCGTCCAACTATTCTCCCAACCCCCTGAAGATTGCTGTGA